TACCACCAGCAGAGACGATATACGAGCTGTAAGGACTTTGACATTAGCCACGGTAGTTCTAACCGCACTACAACATGTTGGACTGTGAAACGTGCTGTATAGAAACGATGTACCTGGAAGGTAACACAGTATGTTTTCTGATACTCTCTGTGTCACTTGATTTTAACCTGTAATTCTTATAAGCTGTAGCTCCTCCAGTTACCTAAACGTGAACATCCATGCTTGTAAGAACAGGTTGGAAGGCCAGGAGCTGTCAATCATCCGGGCTCCATGGCAACAAGCTGAAAGTGAGTTATTGTTCCCATTGTTGTGACAACTCATAAATCCAATTAGCAAGCACTAGATTATACATACACTATATGTACCTGCAATTAAGCTCCATTCATTAACTTTATAGCATGGTCAATAGCCGATAGCATTTTCATTTAAATCTGAGGGGAACATTTTTTTTTTTTACTTTTAACGTGAAGACCCCACAGCAGACATTCATAATAAACAGACTGAAAGAACCTTACATTTATGCTATTAGTGAAAGAAATTAAATTGCTTGTATACTTCTGACTATTCCAGTTATATACATCAACATTTCTGCAAACATAAAAACAGCAGAACTGACTCGATGACTTCCTGATACACAGCGTTAGTCATCACAGCTTTGTTGTGCAGTGTTGGTGAAGTGGTTTTAGTAAAGTAGCTTAAACAAACTGAGCATTACAGTTTTCTGTGGTCATTTGGAGCGTCGTCATCTATAGTTTCGGTAAAATGAGAACTTGATCTGCTACAACTCAGCCTTCATACACACCAGCTACAGTCTAGTTTACAATCCGGCGTGAACCGAAGACACCAGTACGGATGGAAAAAAAGGTGCCGCTGCAGTATAACGGTCCTTTACGTCAGGCTCATACTGCCCTCCAGTGGGGACATGGTGAACTAACCAGTTTAGTAGAAAACCACTGGAATGAAATGTCCTTTCGTAAAGCTAATATAGTCTATGTGCAGCAACAAGAAGAGAACATAAACCTGATTTTATTGGTAGGCACCACAAACAAAACCTCTTTCTGCTGTGTAGCTGACATCATGTAGCTTTTATATCTTTACAGCTCTGGTGTGATGTGGCGTAAACACACATCCAAATACATTTTTCTTATTGTTATTATTTTAATCAGCATTACATGAGGGCAGGTCTCGAAATGTAATTGTCTTGATTGCACATACAACAAGATTCTCCATCCTTTTATTCATGCTGTTCTTCATTAAAGTGCCACCACCGCTTGTTTAACGCCCCATATCTCCTGCTCCTATGTCTGCGGTTGTCTCTAATCCAAGTATTTACTTCAAATGTTAGATTCTAAAAAGTGCAAGAAAATCATTGATGGTTATTTCATGGGAAAACGAACAGACGTACCAACTGTGCAACTCCTTCTTTCCCATTAAGTCCATGACTAATATGCACTTCCTAATGCAGTGTGTCGGTTCCCAGTGAGTCATGTGTTGCAGGGAAACACCATAGGGACCAGTGTAAACAATGGGAAAAATACCAACCAACAACTGAGTGAAAGCGAAGCAAGAAAAGAAGATTGTTTACAATGCGGCAAAGCAGAAAGCAGGTCATGCGAGTCTACGCGCGTACGAGAACCTGCAAAAGATCAAGTAGTGTGGCATAAAAGTGCAGTTTACGAGCGTTTCATGTGGCTGTCTGGAAGCTGCTGGCAGGAGGTGAAACTCATTTGCATCTCCCACCAGGCTTCTCTTTCTTTGACAATTCATATCAACACAGAGCTGTTGGTGGCTTCCTTTTCTTCCCACTGATAGGACATCGTATAGGTTGTTCTATACTGCGTGGATCAGTCTGTCAGAGATGCTGTCGGTGTCTTTCTTTTGCAAACAGAGGCTACTGTGTGATCCTGCAGGAAACACTGGAGTGAATACGTGCCACTGCCCTCCAGACACACCGCAGAGTATCTACCAAATGTACCAGATGGGGTGGTTTGGTTTTGGACGGAGCTGTATTGTTTTAAAAAGAAAAAAGATGATGGCTGCACTTATGTCCACATAATGACATTGTGTGGGTTCAAAAGTGGATCACAGTCTGGTCTCAAGGTTTGTCTGAGGAGGTTTCTTCATACAGTTTATCAGCGATATTGGTCTGAGTTGGAAGGTTTCGCTGCTGAAACACAAAGTCTACGTCAACTCTTCATATAAAGTATAGTAAAGCTGCAACGATCAACCAAATGATCGACTACTTGTTAACTATTGAAATATTTGCCAACTATTTTGATAATCCGTTAAATAATTTGCGGCGAAATTTAAGAAAAAGTGTTCACATTTTCTGATTCCAGTTTCTTACGCTTAAATATCTTCTGGTTTCTTTACTCCTTTGTGACTGTAAACTGAATATTTTTAGCTTGTGGACAAAACAACACACTTGAGGACGCCATTGTTTGCTTTGGGAACCACTGGCAGACATTTTCCACCATTTCCTGGCAACTTATAGACCAACAACTAATCAAATTATCAATCAAATAATCAACAGATCAGTTAGTTGAAGCTCTAGGAAGCAGGAGGAAAAGTAAAAGTTGGGTAACTTGATGTTACTGTTTTGGTCATGCTTGTAAAACTTGTCAAACTTCAAAAACTTCACTTCAAGAAGAACAAGCGCATGCAGTCTTCCTCCTACAAGCTAAACTTGAATTCATGACAAGCAAAACACAGAAATGTTCAGTCAAACACACTCAAGTGTTTTGTTTCTACACCCTCACATGGCCTAACACACTGTCTAACACTGTGTCCAATCACTTCACAGATAACCATTTAACTGTTTTCATCATCAGAACAACATCAGAACTCACCATGGAGTCATGCTTGTGATTTCCTGCTAGTGCTCCTCCTCCACTTTCACTCAGGTCTCCTGTTGATGATGTCTTCAGAGCCAGTGGCCCCAGAGGATCTTGGGAAATGGGAGGAAACTTCAAGTGGCATTGTCCTGTGATTGCCAAGTGTGGCCACAGGGGTCACTCTTCAGCAAAAGGTAGAATGTCTCACTTTACAATGCAGTTTTTTTAAACGTACCTTTTCATGTAGAGGTCTCCAAACATATCTGTGACTGCAGACATGATACGCCATAAACGCAGATATTAATACAGCTAATTAAACCGTCTAATCTCCTGTTTTGTTTTATTTTTCAGTGTTGACTTCTTCGATCAGTGTTTACCCAACATCCAGGTAACTTGTTACTCTGACAGCTTTACAAATTGGCCTTGTTTGACCCTTCATTTTTAACTTAGAGAATAAAATATTGCAGATGGTAGCTTACATACAGCAGGACAATAACATGTCCAGGTATAAAAGTTCCCTAAAGCTCTTAAGTGAAAAGCTGAAATAATTAAAACAGGCACACTGTCTGTCCTAATGATGAGAACTACATTATACATAGAACGGTCAGTGACTTCTGATATACAGCAGCTCCTTATAATTATGACATCATTGTATCGTTATGAGATAATACGTCATCATGACAGTTCTGGGGATGTTACGCAAAAATAAAGTACACATTACTTTTTTGTGATGCCTTACTTCACTCATTTGATCCTTATAGAAAGTCATATGTTCTGCTTCTTGCCACGTCACTTTCCTCTGCAATGTCTCCTGAGATGTCACATAATTACTGCATTAAACTTTACATATGTTCACATATAGACACAGATTCATACCCTCATAAGGAGAAAATGTACACAGAAGTGTTCTTTTATGCTCTATAATGAAATATTAGCACAAAGCCCACAACAACAGGTGATGAAAACCAAACTCAATGAGCACGTCAGAGAAAAATGCTGTGGTGAGAACAAGGCTCAGTTGTTTGCCTGGGGGAATAAAGGTGCCACTGCAATAGGCTTTAAAATAAAAGTAGTGACTGATTATCAACTGTAATCTGATTACTGAATTAAGGGAACACTACAAACAAAAAGTAATGTGATTATAATCATGCTTTGCAATGTCTTACCCCTGAAACTGAATAATTAGATGATCAGCTTGAGATTCATATCCTGAGATCATGTATGGATTCTCATAAGTCAGAGAGAGAAGATAAATCAAGTCATAAATATCTGATACAGTATATAATAGTAGAAAACCTAATTCTTAAGATAATCCCACAAACAAAAGTGACACAAACATTTCTTTCAGAAAACAAGTCAGTAGGGTCGTTAGCAGTAATAGGTTTAATCTGAATAAATTCATCAGTTGTCCCCACCTGTTGAAAAGCTCTTTGCACACACTATGTTTTATTAAATCTGTCTGACTGCATGACAACGTGGTCACAATCAGGTGTGACTACACTCAGGCCTGTTTACTCCATCTATAAACAAGTCCTTTACAAGAGGTCATCGCCACTGGAATATCCTGAAAAAACATAGAATGTTCTCAATTCTGATAACTTTAGTAGTACAAGTGATTGGGGATCATGAGAGACTTTTCCTCAGTTAAAGCAGTGGGAAGGTGGAAGTTCATCCCAACAAACATTTGACACTCAAGAAGCTTTGCTGTGTTTAAAACCAAACTCAAGATTGAACTAAAGTCACCACAGAAGCGTCTCCACCAATGACTCGACTGATTTATTGTTTTTATCACACACATTCCATTAATTATTTAAATATAAGTAAAAAGAATGAAAGAAAACCAAAAAAAAAGTAATAAAAAACACAAGATGAAAAATGAAGGTGGTGGACATTGATGTTCGCTGTTCACATATTCCTAAACTTCTACACACTCCTGACTTTAAGGTAATACTAAATATGACTACAACTGTAATTACTTAACATGTTTTATTTTTAGAAAATATAAGGGAGTAAACAAACTTTTTAAAATGTTTTGGAGAGCATAAAATCAGTAATTGTCTTAGTGTAGCTAGATACTGTTACAGTCAGTGTCCAGTAGATGGCAGCGTTGTTTCACGGCAGACTCTCTCTTCCCCACCAGCCAAGAGACCAGATCAGAAAACCACATCCTTTTCAGACACAAAATATTTTATTTGAAGCACTTAGATTTTGACTGATATACATTATCCAACAGCTTATTTGCTAGCCCACTCCATGAATACCACGAACAGGAAGCCGTCGCCTTGCATTGCATCACTTCACCGTCCATCACAGCAGCAGATCCAAAAAATCCGTACGAAAAAATTCACAAAAATACAGATGCCAGCCAGCGAAAATATCAAAACCACATCCAGTTTGTCTGAGTCACATCGACCGCTCGGAGACACTTCTACAAACGTTATCAAAAGCGGTTTGTTCCAAGAATATATCAGCTTTAGCTTCCGTACAAAACTCCCACTGTGTTACCGCAGCAGCAAACAAATACTGTCAAATGACTAAAAGAAGGAAATTTAGAGTAAAATTCGTATTAATGTGCACTGACGCGAGAAGAACATGGCTTATTAGTGTCGTAAGATTGGACTGATCGGTGCTCTGTAGTATTTGATTTGACCTGAACACCTTTACCAGAGAAGTAAGCTGGTAGCAGGTGATCTATGGTATGAAACACAAACGGGGGAAATACAGACCAGAGCAGCAGCTTTTACCAAAACTTTCCAAAAAATTGCCCGCAAGCAGCAAACATGAGACCCTTTCTTGTACAAAAATAACTATTGCTTTAGGTTTTCCTTGTGGTCACATGAGTGAAATGAACTTATTCCACAAATAATGTCAGTTTTGATCATTTTAATGGAGCCCGACTGAATCTTTGGCGAATGTACTTACTGTAGGAACTGTTACACCCGAGAGTGCACTATAAGCAAAATAGCATGTTCTGAATCGAAAAATATACGTGATTTATATACTTTTACTACAACGTCTGATTTGTAATGCAATAATGTAAAGCTTTAGCTTGACTGAAGAGGTCCCCTGAAGCAATAAAGGTACAACAAGCTCCCTAATTGCCCCCGAGGGGAATATTTGTGTGTTTCAGAGGACGGATACGATGGCTTGTTTTTTGCAGATCATCATGTGACCTTGTTTCAGAGGGTGAACCAAAGGCAGTGCAGACTATGGTTTGTGAAACACTGTACTCCTTCCAGTCATCGTCACTACAAAACAGCACGACATCACAGCAGCTCCGCCTGTACGTTCTGAATCGTTTGCATAGAACCTGTGTTGCATCGTTCATAAAGCACACCGTCACTGCTTCCAAGTCTTTAAATACGATTTTCAACAAAACACTTTGTTTTTGTTACCAAAGTCACCAGTCAGCTAGTTAATATGTCCTAAATAATATCTATTCTAACTACAAAAGTGCACCAAACAGAACTGAACACACAGAATAATCACTTTCATCATGTCATTATCTACAGTCACATACAAGTATCGTTGCATTCATTCAACATTACAAAATCCTGTTAAGGCTTAACCCTGTAGATGCATTAAACTGCCATGCAAATACACACATTCCATTGCAAGCAGGCAATGAGACATTGAGATAGAAAGCTGACATTGAAGAGTGTACGTAAGGGCTTCTGCTTATTGCAGTTTTTGCTGTGACATTTATTACGTGTTATTCTGGAATCGCGCTCTATGTAAGTTTTTCAGGCTTTTCGCGCAAAGTGAGAACAAAAGGAAAAAGAACGCCTTTCGCCTCCAGAGGTGCCCTCAGCGTCTCCTCGACAAAGTAGGAGTTCTCCTCCTCCACTACAAACTGAAGAGTCTGGCTTTTGTTCACACAGTAGATGCAGTTTCCGATAACGGCACACCTGAAGGGTAAATGACTTCCAAGCCTCTGCGATGCGCAGTCGTGCCACATTTTCACTATGGTGTTGTACTTGAAGACGGTGATTCCCTGCTCGCGGTTGACGTCGAAGCGGTAGATGAAGCCTTTCAACGCCACCATGTCCGTGGACTTCTTCCTGCTGTTGTTGTAGGGGCACTCCTGCCACTCGTCCCTCTTGGGGTCGTACTTAAGGAGACGGTAGAAAAGGGAGCCTCCTGAGACGTAAAGTTCTCCGCTGCAGGTGGTGGCTTCGTGGGCCACTGCGAAGGCTCCCTTGGGCAAAGGGGCTATTGTTGTCCAGCGGTCCATTCGAGGGTCATATTTTTCCACTGTAAACAAACATTCCCCTCCAATGGCGTACAGGTAGCCATCCATAGACACAAGCTTCAGCTGGGCACGTGCCTGGATTAGAGGTCGGACCTCGGCCCAGCGGTTGGTTATGGGGTTGTAACAGAACACCTTGTCTGAAACTTTGCCCTTGTCCCCGTAGCCCTTAATTCCTCCTGCCACAAACAGGTAGTTATACATGGTGCAGATCCCGCACCCTTTAGTGTTTATGTCCTCAGGCATCGCAGTCAAAGGTCTCCAGTCATTTGCTGCTTCACTGAAGGAGTAAATCATATGGTTTTCTTCCAGAGACCCCACCGACAAGGGGCTCTGCGGACGGCTGCCGCAGCGACTCGGTGGTCGGCTCCCGACTCGATCAAACACATCATTGATCTCTGCAACCATCAGAGTCTTCCTGCCCTCCAGTCTCTTCTTCAGGATCAGATCCCTCTCAGATCCAGTCAGACGCCCGTACACAGCCGGGTCTTTGAGGACCTGGAGGAAGTTGTCGCTCATGAATCCGTAGGCGGTCTCCTTCAGTTCGCTCAGTCGCTGCTTTTTGGCGATGGTCAAAATCTCGTAGCAGTTCTCAGCGGTGATCTGTTCGGACATGGAGTCCATGGCTGCCTGGACGGCACAGGGGATCTGCAGGATTTTAGCCCCCGTGATGACATCGACAACATTGTCTTTGCTAACTTTGATCTGAGAGGTGTAAACATAGTCTATCAGCGTGGACAAAGTCTTGTAGCTCATGCCCTTCACTTTGAGGATGTTGCGCGACAGCCGTGCCTTGAAGTAGTCGCTCTTCTCTGCCAGGACAGACTTGTGAGCGTTGATCGTCTGCCCGCCTACTTCGATGACTAAATCAGGCTCTTGTTTGGAACGTGTGTTTTCAGCTTCCTGGCTGCTGTCCCTGCGCTCGAGGTTTGATTTTAGAACCGACCGATCAGTATCCTGTTTGACTTGGCTAGGCAAGCATATGGAGGAATCTGCACTGTAAGACACTTTAGCTCTGGCGCCATTGTGGATTTCGCTGCTTGCACAATTTTGTTGCATGTGATTGGACACGGCGGGGTGAGGAGGGTCGCCGGGGCTTCCCTTATCACTACAAACATGGTCATCTCTCGAGATGTACGAGCTGTTGCCTTTCTGATGATCCATGTGGTTGTTCTCCATCAGTGTTCCGTCCAGCAGGTATTCCTTCTCGAACGCTGGAAGAGGGTTGAAACCCGGGTCATCCTGCAGGAACCCCTGCACAAAACCTGGACATAGATTCCTGTTTTTGTCGGTAAGCGAGACAAGGTCAGGGTTCACTGTGTGGAGGATGGCATCGGCCTCCACGGTGACAGCCCCTCCTCCCTGCCTGTGGCCCTCGTTCATCTCAATGTGCTCACTGGCGATGGGAGGCGGCGTCCTCGCTGATCATGCTGAAACTTGGGACTCTCTCTTCACCTACATGGAGGAAAAACAAGGAGGGGGTTTAACCAACTGAGAGGAGGAACAGGTTTGAGCCTGCAAAGACTTCTTCATTCTCTAAGGGGCGCCCTTTCTCCAATAACAAACATCTTGGAAACCCTCAAATTTGAAGAAAATCACTTTGTGCTGCCACTGCCAGTCATGCTGTGTAATACACGCCTGTGCGAACGTGTCATCAGTTCAGCAACACTCATCGCTCCAGCGTTTCATGTTCACATCTGCAGCTTAACAAAAGACCTGCAGCTTCTTGTTTGACCCACTGCAATAATCACCCTGCCTGTCCTGTGTATGTGGTAATCTGGAGACCTTCAGAACGCATGCGCAAATGGTGTTGCTCTGATGGAGGAATTAATCTCTAATATGACGGAGAAAGGGCGTTTGTAATTAGATCAGAAACTCCTGTCTGATGCCTTCTCTGGCAACGTCGATCAAATGATCAGAAACGGTCCATTCATTCCAGTTAAGAAGAATCACAACAGAAATTTTGCACAAAATCTGAATTCCAAATAATGGATTTCTGTCCATTCTCAGCAGAATGTGACCTTACCTGCGTTTTCCTCGGTGTGATTTCACAGCTCCAGCACCAGCGGTTTCGCTGCCAGTCTCTCCACAAAGCTCAGTTACGTAAGGCAGGCGCAGTCCTGACCAAGCAGCCCGCCTGCGCTCCCCTGGATGACTTTACTTCACCGACAGCACCAGACGGTTCCTCTCATCCGTTCGACGTTTATCCATCGACACTCCTTTAACTTCTCGTTTCATCCGCTCATGCTCTGAAATCCGCCGGGGTTCCGAGGTTTTAGAGGCGGAGGGACGATCAACCAGTCATTTCAGGTCGCACCTCCTTCAGATCTTGCTGAATAATTTCCTCCGGTGGAAGTAGGGGAGGGAGAGAGAGAGAGAGCCGCGGCGCACATCCGAGCGCCTTTTCCCTCCTGGAAAAAACCTGGAGCTGTCCGGGAGAGATACTGGCTGCCGGAGCTGTCAGGACGCTGATTTTTGTTGTCTTTTTTACACTTGACAGGAGTGAGGCGGTTATTATTTGATCGAAACCACGCCCTCTCCGCTCCGTATTAACCCTACACTCCACAGCGCGAGGCTCCATCTGTCGTGCGCGCTCTGGATGCGACATTCCTTTACGCATCATCCCTGTCGTGGGTACCACCGCTGAATTTAAGGGAAATCCCCAGAAATCCCTCACTCCAATCCCTGCCAACACACATATACGTCAATCCTAAACCGAAAACCACTTCATCGTAAACCCAACATCTAAAATAACCCTCTGCATTCAGCGCTTACTGGAATATTACATTAACACCGGTACACATCAAAATGAAATTAAAGAGCAGACACTGTGTAAGGCCCCCATAGGGATTTTATATTGGAGTAACACTACTTAAAAATCAATAAACGTTCCATTAGTGCTCTCCACCTGTTTGTGCATGAAGTAGCTGCTAAAGTAAAATCAATCATGAGCTCTCAGGTTATCATTTATTGTCTATTTGTTCATTTTCTGTACTTGAATCTTTGCTGTTGGGGAACAAGATCCATGTTAGTAACTTTCAGGTTGCTCAGCATAGAAGTTGAAGAATTGCCTCAGGGGCCAAAAAGGTTAAGGTCAGAGAAGATACGTTTACACCCCTTTGGAAAGATGAACTCATCATTTCTTACATGGTGTGGAACACTGTGCCATAAGGTCTAAACTTACAAAAAGAATTTGTGTTCACTATAAAAGCTGCTTCTTCTGTGAGGGAGAGAGGAGTGAGATCTCTCCCCATTGCAGTTATGTACTTTAGTTCTCCATACTGTTAATAATAATAATACATTTGTGTATTTGTGTTCCTATTCAAGGGTAGAATCCAGGTGTAAAATATCCCCAAATAAATGCAGAAGTGGCATGACTTTCTCTCTTACACCGTGGTACGTTTAACCCTAAAAACTGTTTATCCATCCATCCAGCTAACCGGCCACACTTTTCATGATATTTTAAATATTTTTTGGCCCAGTTAGTTAATCACTGCTGGAAGCTAGTACTACAGTAAGTATTGTATGATCTACAGCAAAGAGTGTGATTTTTCTGAGCCACAGTGAAACAAACGAAAAAAAAAAAGGTCAAGTGCAATTTTTTTTAATATTAGCAGCAAATCATTTATAGCATAGTATCCTAGTATGATATGTTGGACTTCATTTTGTCCATCCATCCATTATCTATACACCACTTAATCCTCACTAGGGTCGTGGGGGGGCTGGAGCCTATCCCAGCTGACTCAGGGCGAAGGCAGGGGACACCCTGGACAGGTCGTCAGTCCATTGCAGGGCCACACTCAGAGACAGACAACCAAGCACACTCACATTCACACCTACGGACAATCCAGAATCACCAATTGTTCACCAACATGTTTTTGGACTGTGTTGGAGGAAGCCGGAGAACCTGGAGAGAACCCACGCTGCACGGGGAGAACATGCAAACTCCACGCAGAAAGATTCTGGTGCCCCCACCGGGATGCGAACCGGCGACCTTCTTGCTGCGAGGCAACAGTGCTACCAACTGCGCCACCTTGCAGCCCTAAAAACTGTTTAGCTCTGATTAAGACTCACATCTTCCTTTTGGTAGTGATCCAACTGTTCCCATCTGAGTTCAGTGAAAGATGAAGAAGCAAAAAGTACATGCTGCTTCAAGTTTACCAAAAGCATTAGATGGTCATATGCTCAATATAACCTCACAGGAAAGCAGCAGCAGCAGACTATATTATCCAGGGTCCATAACCTCTCCGCCGCGGAGGCTGCACGTCTCTTAACAACTGGCCTTCAGATATAAAAATAGAGGGAAGCCACCGCAAGGGCATCAAACGACTATCAGGCCTGTAAAGATTAGAGGGCCTTCAGCTGCCAGATATTCTGAGAACAAAGACACGCTGAGGACCGATGCACGCGCTCAAAATGAGCGTCTCCATGGAAACGTCAGGGTCAGAGGAGAAAACAAGACTCCCAGATGCAGAGCTAAGAGACTAACTGATAACTGGGTTACTTGGTTGGTACAGTGAGACTAACTGATTTCCAACTCTTAGGTAATAAATAAAAAGCCAGTACTGAGTTACAAGAGTTATCTAAGCCAGCACATTAGCTGCTACCAAAAACCATCTGATGGGATAATATTTGGGATGGACCCGGGGTGCCGAGGACTGTAGCGTGGGAACAACTCCAACCTGAAATTATCTTGTCTGCTTTTGTTAGAAGCGATAGTGAAACATGGTTGTGCAACAGCGGTCGTGGGCGTCGCGCGAGAGAGAGAATGCCTTGACCCCTCTCTGTTCGGCAGCAGGAGAAATCCCGGAAGAGATGTATCAGGCTCAGTTCCTGCGGCCCCTCGGGCGCATTGCTAGTCCCAGCATGTACCGATGGCTGCACACAATCACGGTGGAGCACAAGGTTAGGATGAAGCAAGAAAAAGGAGGCACACTGACACTCTTTACGTCTATCTCCAAACACTCCCGGTTGTCTTGAATAATGCATGACGTAAACCCTATACATCGGCTCCTTTGTTGTGTTTTGTTTGAGTGGAAACTGATCAAAACAACTGATTGATAATCATAAAAATAAGTTGTAGTGAAAAGAAGAACACAGCGTTGCTCAATAAAACATTGTTTATGGATTTGTTAATATACATAAGTACATAAAAAGAGTGACAAAAGTAGAAATCTTTTTATCTTTTTTTAAAAATATCCTTATGTGAGTTACAAAGATAGATTAGGGCGACAAAAGAAAATCTCTTTATCATGACAAGTCTTTCCTCCATTAATGAATACCAACCTGGCCAGCCAGGGATTCTCATCAAACCGTCTCAAACTAATTCAGTCATCAGTATTTCACCTTTTTAAAAAAAAGAAATCCCTTTTTTTTTTGTTGTTTTTTTGGAAACAGGATAGCTGGAGCACCGAACACGCTGGTCCAATTGATTCCATATAAACACAAAACTGACTCTAAAACTAATTCCAAGTTGTCAGACTTCAAAATTACAACTGGCCTTGATAGATGAACCAAAATCTGTCAAAAAGCTAATCTTACAAGACATTTTTACAGTTTAACAGCCCTATCGATATCTTCAATGCCTTTCATTTTGCTAACTTCCTCGCAACACTGATTTAAATACTGCAGTCCGATACAGTCGACATGTGCGGCGCAAACACTGGAGAGTAATGAAATGTGTTAGACGTGTTACAGGACGACATCCAACAGACATTAGAGACCTTTCAGTGTTTGCAAACATCATTATTGTGTACAGTATATATCCGTTGACTGGTCTGCTGTTTGCGCCGTCATCCATCACGGCTGAGTGGTTTTATTGATCCTTTGTCCTTTAGGTAGGAGCATCCTGGGAATACTGTGGAGTGACTTCTGCTTTAAATAAGACATTTAATTGTTCTGATTGATCCCAAATGTCCCGTCAAGTGTTCACAACAGATGTTCTCGTGAGGGACGAACGCAGCACTTAATCTGAAAAAAAAAAAAAGGCAAAAGTTAAAAGTTAAGATTGAAATGTCAGCAGTACACCTTCCCCTGATGATCCATAAACTGTGTTACTAACCTACCGACGTGGTGCTGGTGTCACATGTTCAGTAACGGGATCTGCCAGATCATAATGGTGGAGGTGTTGTCCTCATGGCGGGACTGTTTGGTCTTTTTGTTGACCCTGCGGTGGCCCGACCCTCCGGACACCACCAGCAGAGAGCTGACGTCCACCTTGCTGGAGCGGCGGCCCCTCTGGTGATGGGCCGGGTCGTGAAGCATGTCATACAGGGCCCCGTCCTCGGGCCCGTGCTCCAGGGAGCCCTGGGACGGAGCGAGGGAGCCGCAGGACGAGGTGGACAGGGAGTCCTGGAGAGCCATGGTGGTGCAGCCCGCCTCTCCCAGCCACACGCCTCGTCCCTGTGGGGGGGTCAGAGCTAAATCCGAGGGAGGCTGGGTGTTCTCCACATCGTGGGGCTCTGCTGGCTGCAGGGAGGAAGGAGGGGTGGAGGCTGGCAGGCCAGACGGCCGATTACACACTGCAGCAGCCACAGTGAGGAACTTGACTGGCCCGTTGTGAGCATGTAATGACACCATACCCCGACCTGGGAACACAAACCAACAGTCATCCAGGATATTGGACACACTTCACTGTATATGGCCTGAATATCATTGGTATACACAGAGAACTGAAGCAGGGAGGTAAATAGCAAGCTATGTAGACAGATGATGCCACCCTTTCATAATTCTGCCTACTAAGCTCTTGATTGAATTTCTCCAAACTGCACAAACAGCAGTAAGTGAGCACAAACCCTGGCCGAGCTGAAACGTTTACCAGACTCTCTTGTCTTATTAGACGGCTGCTCTGTGTGTCTAGATGCCGAAACAACTGTATTATGTGACATTATACTCAATACTTATACATTTATTTAAGTCATTAGTGAAGCAAAATTGTCAATCATTTCTTCGTTTTAGCTTCTAAACTGAGCTTTTTGCTGCTTTTCTCTTTTTATACGTTCCATTCCACCACCATTCCTACGGATCCACCTACAGGTATTCTCTCAGTTTGCAATATGTCACATGTACTCAGGTGTGATCTACCACAAGTACTTCTCAGGTACCTCCGTTCCTCGCTGCTATTGTAAATACTCACATTTTTATATCCATTTCATACCTATTGTCACTTATTATTATTTTTTTACATCTTTATTCTCCATAAATGTCTTGTTTTTATCTTGCACAGTTTGTTGGTAATTTATATTTATAGTTGTTCTTTGCACTGAATGGAATTGCACTCAATTTTGTTGTACTTTTTTTGGGTACAATGACATTAAAGGATTCTGATTTATATAAATGTAACTGAAAATACTTGTAGGCTTTGTTGACATCTGAGAATATCTACTTGTTCCATCGTAAATTGTTATAAGTGGTTTTCTTCTTCTATAGTACACATTTTCTTGCAT